AAGGCGGCCGCTGGCCCGGGCCCCAGCAGCCGGGCCAGCAGCGCCCGCACGGCCTCCGCCTCCCGGGCCTCATCCCTGGACGAGGCTCCCGCCATGGCCAGGAGCAGGAACCCCAGAGCCGCGGACGCCGCCGCCGCCTCCATGGTCCAATGGTCTCAACNCCGCGCGGGGAACCAATTCGGGACTCGGGCCTAAGGGGCGGGGCGGCCCGGGCCCAATCAGCTGCGGGCCTTGGGTCACGTGGACCCGAAGAGACAGCGCCCGCGGGCCGCCGAGAGACCGGCTTCCGGGTCCCACAGAGCCGCCCGAGGGTGTCTTCTGACTGCGCGTGGGGCGCGGGCGCGTGACTCCGGGAACCTCAGAAGCCTGGAGCCGGAAGCGGCGCGCTTCCCTTCACCAGCGTCCTCAGATTCCGCGCGCGTTCGCACACGAGTCACTTTCCTTCCATTCACCCAACCATCCAATAAATGTTGGGAGTTTATTTTGTACCAGGACTGCCGCCCCTCTCCGGGGGAGACCTAGAAACCATGTACTTGTGGGAAGATTCGCATGATCGTTGTGATGCTGTGAAGAAATACGAGAGCATCCAGCCTAAGGCTTCCAAAGGAAGTGACATTTAATCCGAATTAAATTGGGATTGACTAGGAGAAGAGACAGGGGAAGTACCCAAGGTAGAGAAAATGTCTGTATGAGGACCCCTGAAGGACAAAGAAAGCGCTGGGCAGATTTGAGGAACTGAAAGATCATGCACGGAGTTGGAGGGGCCATGGAGCCTGGGCTGGCCGTGGGGCAGGGCCTGGTGGACATGTTAAGGTCTCTCCTTGGATCCTTAAGGGGTAGCAGCAGCAGCAGCAGCCGCAGCAGCCCAAGATAGGAGTTATTTTCATTTTATATAATGAGGAACTGGGGGCCAGAGAAAGGAAATGACTCAGACAAGACCAATACTAGTAGGAGAGCAGGCCTGGGACTGCAGCTGGAACTCCCAACTCCAAGACCAGCGTTCTTGCCACTATTCCCCAAGTGCTGCAACTTTTCAGGCTGCCTCTCTGGGCGGGGAGGGCTTGAGTGGGGCTTTGTGGTGGGCCCTTTAGAAAACCTGTTTCCTAACAGGATTCTGAGTTCTTTTGGAGGCAGGTGTCGATCTCTCCAGATTGTCATACCTGAGGGAAGCTGCTTAGAGACAGGAAAGAGATCCCAGGAGGACTGCCAATCCACGGAATTTGGAGTCGTTACTGAAAAAGAACATGGGAGTCCACTGAGCTTGGCCCGCTCCCCTGCTCCCTGCCCCCAGCTGCAGACACAGCTGCAGGACCCCTGCCTTGCTCCTGGCTCAGTGAGCAGCTCTGTCAGGAGGTGCAGCCCCTGCTGTCACTCAGTTCCTAGAATCAAAAGATTCTCAGCCTTCCCCAAGGAGGGCTCCAAGACCAGCCCAGAGAGATGTGCCCTCATGGGGCTATAGTCTGTAGCACCTCCCCCCAGGCCTTTCTCCACTCCCCACCAGCACCCCTCACCCCCCACCCCATTTTCCCTCCAAACACCCCTTTCTCTGGGTGAAACTTATCAGCTTCTCTTCCTGCCTGGACCTGTTTTACTGGGATTTCTGAATCCTAGGGAACACATGGGTGAGGGAATTGGGGCTCTCTGTGCAGTCTGGATTCACCCAGAGTGGTAGTGGGTTGCTGGCAGGGGCAGTAGGTTGGGGACACCATCCAGGGAGTTGGTAGCACATTTAAAGCCTGAGCTCAAAGATGCCGGGCAGGAGCTTCAGGGATGACTCCATGCATGTCACACTCTTTTCTTACTTCCCCATCAGGCTGGGAGCTCTTTGAAGACAGTAGGAGGCTGGTTGAAGAAATTCAGGTATGAAATATTAAGCATTTACTAAAATATGAGGAAGATGTGCTGTTAATGATCTAGAATGTTCTGAAAATGGTCAAACCACTTGGGTACAGTACACTCCCATTTGTGTGCGTATTTTTTTTTATTTTTTAAAAAAATATATATTGATTTCAGAGAGAGGAGAGGAGAGGGAGCGAGAGAGACAGAAACATCAATGATGAGAGAGTCATTGATCGGCCACAGCCCGCAAACCGGGCATGTGCCCCGACCAGGAACCGAACCCCGATCGCCTGGATCCTAGGTCGATGCTCAACCACTGAGCCATGCCCAGCCAGGCTGTGTGCGTATTTTTAAAGGCTATGGAAACAGTAGTTGCCTCCCATGGGGTACTGGGATGCTGGGGGTGGGAGGACTTTACTTTTCAATGAATGTGTGTGAAACAAGTAGTCCGGGCTCTCCGCTCTCCATCTCATTGTGTCCTCTTTTGTTCCTGGCCCCTCTGCCTATGTACCCCAGAATACTGTACAGCCAACCCAGTTGCCTGCATGTCGCAGCCCAGCTAGGATCACACTCACCTTGCCAGTGAGGAGGAATGAGTCTTTCCCTGTCTGGCCACCAGGGAGCAGCCGATGCCTAGGACATGCCTTGGGTAGGCCGGGGAGCTGGGAAGGCAGCCAGGTCACTGGGACCTGAGGGGAGCTCCAATGCTCCTTCGCCCCAGGGCTCCTGGGGCAGAAAGAGGCACAGTCCCACCCAGGACCCCAATGAACAAGACAGAGAGTGGGTTCTGAAGGTGGTGATGGAATTGTCCTGTTTTTATGACACCGAGCAGGCCCCAAACCACAGTTCCCATGCTGGTTCTAGGACCGTAAGATGAGAGGCATTCATGGGACAGGGGCATAGACTCAGCAGATGCCTGGGGTCCAGGGGTTCCACAAGAAGGGGATCTCCCACTTTGATCCTGTCCCCAGACGCATCCAGCAGCCAGTTCTAGGCAACTACCCATCTGTTTTCTGTCTCTCTAGATTTTCCCATTTTAGACATTTCACATAAATGCAATCATATAATGTGGTTGTGTCCAGCTTTGTAGCATAATGTTTCTGAGGTCTATTCATGTTGGAGCAAGTATCAGTGCTCTATCCATTTTTATTGCAGAATGACACCCATTATATGGATAGACCGCCTTTTGTTATCCAGCCGATGGACACTTGGGCTGTTTCCATTTGGGGGCTATTATGAATGATGCTGCTATGAACACTCGCACCAGTCTGTGTGCACGTCTTTTCATTGTTTTTGAGTCAATACCCAGAAGCCCAATTGCTGGGTGTTCTCTTAGTTTGGTTTAACATTTTGAGGAACTGCCATCTGCTTTCCAAAGCAGTTGCACCATTTTACATTCCTCTCAGCAGTGACTAGGAGTTCCAGTTATTCCACATCCTTGATGACACTTGTAATTAACTTTTTTATTGTAACCATTTTAGTGGTTGTGATGTGGCATCTCCTCGTGGTTTCAATTTGCATTTCCCTAATGACTAATTATGTTGAGCACTTTTTCATGGTCTTATTGGCCATTCAACCTGGGGATAGGGTCAACTGTATGATTTGTAAATATTGTCTCCCAGTGTTAACATTTTGATTTTTGTCCTTTGAAGCAAAATATTTTTAAATTTTGCTAAAGCCCAGCTTATCTTCATTGCTTGTTTTTTGTGTTTTTTTTTTGTATCGTATCTAAAAATCATTGCTTAACCCAAGGCCAGCATGAAGACTTGTGATTTCCTCTTATGAGTTTTAGTTTTAACTCTTAACTCTTACATTTAGGTCCATGATTCATTTTGAGTTAACTTTTTTATATAGAGTGGGGTTGTGGTCCAAATTTTTTTTTTTACATGTGGATACTCAGTTTACTAATGCCATTTGTTGGAAAGACTGTTCTTTCCCCATTGAATTATCTTGGTCCCTTTGGGGAAAATCAATTGACCATAAATGTTAGGGTTTATTTCTGGACTCTCAATTTCAATTCTATTCCACTGATTCCAAAAATCTACTTTATTTATTTATAAAATTTTATTTATTGATTTAAGAGGGAGAGAGAGAAACATTGATTTGTTGTTCTACTTATTTATGCATTCACTGGTTGATTCTTGTATGTGCCCTGATCTGGAATCGAACCTGAAACTTTGGCATATTGGGGCAACGCTGTAATTAAAATATCTATTTTAATTAGGCCTCCCTTTTTGAGTCAATAACAGAGCAGAGGCTAAAAGAGCTCATTTACCTAAATTTCCACTCTGGACTTTCGGAGGAGCCAGGTGGGGGTGCTGCCCCTAAGGCCTATTCCAGGCAGCTGGCCTGTGAGGGAGGAGAGGGTTTGAGGCTGGGGGGGACAGGAACATGAAATGAACAGGGTTTTCCTGCCCCTCCTGGAGCTGCAGTTGTCCGCCTGCTGCTCGCATTCCTGCCCAGCCCCTGCCCTGGAGGCCCTAAGAGGGAGGGATGGAGAGGGAGGGCACTGGGAAAGAATGTGGATGCCTTACATGGCAGCGAGGAGGGAGAAGGCGCCCTCCCTGCCCACCCCGCCTGCCAGCTCTTCGGCCACCTGCCTACCTCAGCACCTCACATTCTCCAGCTGCCCTAAGAAACTACATGCTGAGCCTCCACTTACACCAAGGCCAAGGACATCAGGGCTCAAAATAGCCAGGCTTCTGAACCCTGAAGAACACAATTGGAAAAGAGGGAGAGGGTAGGCAGATGCCCAGACCCCATGAACCTCTGCTTTTTGGGTGTGTAGTGTATGAAGGGGAGATGAAGCTGGGTCCCTAAGTCCCCTCCCCACCATGGGTGGTGTCTGCAAAGCAGACTTGGCTCATGGAAGGGGGAAGGCGCCTGTGAAACTTGAGATAAGGAGAGAATTTCACAAACTAACTGCCTGGTCAGGGTCACAGTAGCTGTGGCCTTTGATCAGAGAGAAGCAGAAATGCTGGAGGAGGGAGGGGGAGACTGTGCGAAGCAGGGGCTGTGGGTACAGAGACAGGCAGCCTCCCTCTGTAGAGTCAAACACACTTTATTCAGCACAGGAATGTCTGAACAGAAGGGCCTTGGGAAGGGTTCCTGACAAAGAACTCTACTTCAAGCCCCGCTGTAAACAGAACAAAGATCATCATGTAAACCATGGGGACCACT